AGGAGAGATTAAGAAAAGCGATTCCATTGCTACAAGGATCAGTGTGGCCATGTTCCCCTTTTGCTCATTTGCCTTCTTTCTTCTCTCCCTTCCCCTTCCCTCCAGGCTTCGGCATTTCCTCCTCACTATCGAATGCCTTTGACCTAAAATCCTTAGTGCCTGTTTGCTTCAATCAGGTTTAGCCAGAGATATGTGACAGCTCCCAGGGAGTAAATATCACCCCTTCTTGTAGGGTAGGGTAATAACATTCCCCTTTACCCCATAATACCCGCTCATGTCAGGACCAGACTGGGGGGATAAACCCGTCCGTGAGGATTATGGGGGTGCAAGTCACCTAGACTGTATTTCTCCTCCTGAGTAGACCCTTACAAATGAGAAATAATACCAAAAATGAATTCTTTTTTAAAAAAATGACCAGATACTAAGATTGAGATTGCCACTCAAGTTTGTACCTTGTGGTGGTCTGTCTCAATGTCTGGCGGGCCCAAGACTTTCGGCTCAGCAGTGTAGAGAAGCTGCACCCCCACAGAGGGAAAGGAAGCCCGTGTAAAACCTCCATGTATCTGATTTTAACAAAAATTATGGTCGTCTCTAATGCACACATTTACCGCAGAACCCAAAAAGACCTCTTGTAAGCACTGTTCTCCTCCCTATTCATCCCAAAGAAGGTTAACATTTCCAGGGCTACTTGAGGAGTCTGCTTTGAATCAATCAGGTGTGATTAAGCCTGGAGCCTTCAGCAACTCAGTGGAAAAAAAAAATTTTTTTTAAATCCAGCTCCTAAACTGGCCTTTCTCTCCAGATGTGGCCTGTATTGGGGTATTTTACTTTGCCCCTAGAATTGCAATATTCTTAATTTTGTCTTTAATAAGCAACCTCTGGCCTCCTTTCGGCTAGCAGGATTCAATCTGGAGGTTTAGGAAAGGATCCAGTTGTAGAAAGGACGCTGAGATTTCAGGGGGCTGCCTATGCTGGTCTCATCGGAGCAGATTTGGGTAGCCGTGCTAACCAAGACTAATAATCCTGCCAGGTCCCATGTAGACGAGCATGGATTAAGGCAGCATTTGCTCTCCAAGATCTACCCCCTCCAATATCCTGGTGAGAAGCAAATTGCCATTTCCAGAAATGAATAAAAACAGATTTTTCAAATGTAAATATGAAAAGAGAGGACTTTACATCTGGCCTATTTAAAACTAGTTTCACAACAACCCTGATGGGGGGGGGGGTTGTCAGTGTATCTCGGTGTCAGTATGCGAAAACATATTTACTGATGTCATTTTTACATATTCACAAAATCCATGCTCCCACCCTAATCTCCCTCCTCCAGGAAGGATGTGAAGAAATCTCTGCCGGGTTTTTAGCTGGATGCTTCAGACTAGCAAGACACATTTCTCAGATGGTTTCAAGAATCAAAGGTGACTTTCCTGATTTGGCCTTTTGGGGAACAAAGATTTCCCCTGGTTGCTGGGCCCACTAAAATGCATCTAGAGAGGGCACCTAGTTAGGACCCTGACCCCGCACCCCTCTCCCCAGCGGCCACCGCAGACTGACCACTTCATTGTTTTCAATAGGAACTTTCTGCGCCCCCACAACACACAATTCCCTGACTTCCCCTGCAATCACAACACCCCATTTTCAGCACAGCTGGAATCCTGTCTTCTGGACGCCCCACTACCCCTGTCTCATCCCAATTTGACTATTTCTACACAATCAAAAGACCGCTTTAGTGAAACCTTGGCGGAGAGCAGAAATCTACTTTCCCACTTATGGCCTCCCTGGCGTTCCAATCTTAAAGAGAAAGTGGTCGTGTGCGGGACTAGGAATTGAGCTCCACGGCTTCACCCTGGACCTCACAAACCCAGGCGCGTCCACCAGTCCTCCTGAACCACCGGTTACCTCCCCGCCCCCGCCCCAGTCAAACTGAAATTGCTCAACTTGGGGCCTCTTACCTTGACACATTTCCCAAATCATGGCCAAGGGGCAGCTGCTTCTCTGCGTCTCGGTGTCCTGCGAGGCCTAGGAAGGCGCGTGGCTTTAAATCCCACCACCGTGCACTTCTTGAAGATGAACCCCCACCTTTTATGTTTGATACGAAGGGGAGCGAGACAAGTCAAATAATATTACGTGCTGCTCGTAGTATCAGAAAGGAACAAAGGCCAAGAAGCGCGCTGGGGTTCCGGGCTCCCCGGCGGCTTTGACATTGATCGGAAGTGCGCCATCTTGTGGCGGCTGAGCGCCTCGGCGCGGCATGGTGCGCCAGCGCGAAACCTAGAGAGGAGGCGAAGCCGGCTCCAGGCACAGACGCAGGAAGAGAATGTGCCCAGCCCGCTGCTACAGAGATCTCATTTTTACATCTAAGAAATTGCTGCAAAACCCCGGCCGGGTTTATAGCGGCGCATTCCAAATATGCAAATTGGCCGGCTCCGGACGGGTTTACGACCACATTGTCACAGTCATCGGAGGATGGGCTTTTATAGGGCTCAGAAATCAAACCCGGGACCGCCCGCCGCCCGCCACTGAGCAGTTCTGGCTAGACTCTCTCTAGCAACTTGCTAGACTTGGGTTAATCATTAACCGTCCCAAAGGAAGCCTTCCCCTAAACCACGGGCTCCTCTGCCCTCCACTTTTCTGCGCACCCCCACCCCGCCCCCCAGGACGGTCCTTGTTCACCTCTGCGTGTCTATCAGCCTAGACATTCATGCCACCGTCTGTCCCATTCCTCTTTCAGCAACACTTCCCCCTGTCGCGCCAGTTAGACAAACACACAAACAAACAAAGCAGTACTGGGGTTGGGGGGAGTGGGGCCTCTCTCAGATGTGATCCCCTCAGCCCTTCTGGCCCAGCCTGGGTGGCTGAGAAGAGGGTGGGGTGGGGGTGGGGTGACCAACAAAAGGCTCTAGCCCTCAAGGTTATGGGTGAGGTCCAAATTTAAGGCAGAAGTTCAAAGGCAGGATACAAAGAGGGAACTGGCATCTTTCTGCCCCCAAAGGGAAAAGGCAGCCTGGAGCTGAGAAGCTGCGGAGAATGGCCCTGAAACTGTCCTGAGAAGCAGCTTTGCCAGGCACCCACTTTGGTCTCCCTCATGCTGCAGAGATCCTGGCCCCTGCTAGAGTGGTTCTACCACTGTACGACCCCAGCCTGGGCTGAGCCCCATGGATTATCTCTCCAGGGCCTTCTCCCAGGGCTCGTCTGATGAAGCCTCCACATTCCCAGCTCTGAGATGCCCTCTTCCTGGGACCCCACTTCCCTGGAAGGAGCTGCCCATCGCCCTTGGCCCCCTAAATTTGAGTTCTACTGGAGTGAAGTTCTGATTCAGTCACCTCCCCAACCCTGTAGGGGCCTGGAAATTTGTTTTCCCGGAGGTGGGGGGCAGACATTTGGCAGTAAAAGACTTGTAGGGAGAGGAATGTCACACCAGGACCCAAAACTCAACGTTCCATCATCTTTATTTTCCTTGTGCCTTGTTGCCTGTATCCATGTAGGAATGTCCATGGTGGGAGAGAGGAGAGGACCAGAAAAAGACTCCCATGACAAACAGCCCCCCCCCCCGCCCTAGACAATTCTTGACAAGGGACAACTCTACTGGAGGAACTGTTTTTCCTCTGCTCAAGTCCTCAGAGTATGGAGGAAAGAACATCTCGGAGCTTACCATAACACTTTTGGAACATTGCATGAAATTCAAAAGACCCTCCTCCAATTTTTCTGTCCCCCCACAATGCCCTCAAAGGAAAACAGTTAGTGGGTAGGGAGAGAGGAAGTATTGAAACAAAATAGGTTATGGTTCCTTTATTTACAAGTCTTTCCAACACCATCCCTGTATGAAGCATACATTCAAAAATTCTTAGCAGTGAGTGAGTTGAACTGTGGAACACTAACCAGATAGAGCCTTTAAATATTTTCTTCATCATCTCCCTGCCCGCCCCCACCACCTCTACATTGCATCTTTGAAATTTCGCTTTGGTTCTTGCAGGGAAATATATAATATAATATAATATAATATTTATCTTTTAAAATAATTCCAAATGCCTCCCCATTTGGATCTCTGGGAAGATCGCGCAAGGCCTCCCAGCTCAGTTCTGGGATGGAAAAGGGCCTGAACCTGTGTGGGGTCTGAACCTGGTTTTTGAGTGGGGGAGGGAGATCCTGGGGGGGCCTCAAAGCCAGAGCACTGGCCAGGCCAGTTGCTCTGCAGGGAGAAAATCCAAGCGTCAGTGAAGTGTGTGGAGTCTTGGCGAAGCAGCCTCGCTCCACAGGCATTTCCTGCAGAGAACCGGGCCGCAACCCGCAGCAGCCCGGGGTGAAGTCTTTGGCTTTTTGATATCTTCCACCTCCACCTGGGATTGGGCTCCTCTCCGGCCAGGCTTCAGGCAGGAATTGCAGGCCAGGAGGCAGACCCTCCTCCGTAGTAGGGAGAAGTAGGTGGGCTGCAGGAAGCAGCTGCTAACATTTCAGTCCTGGGACAGTTCGGTCAGTGGCAAGGAAGAAGGGACAGCGACGGGGTCAGGGTTGCGGTCTCCCCATAAGGACCAGCGGCCTGGTGCATTTGCGCTCCACCACTTTGACCAGCTTGCTCTGCGAGAAGCAGCCCATTCCGATCATAGGAGACTTTCCCCTCTCCTCTTGCCCCAACCAAACCGGGTTTGGAGATGGCAGAGCCATGTGGAGGGTCTGGGGTCCAGGGTTGTCTCCAGAGAGCCTGGCAAGAGCCTCATCCCCAGACTCAAGCTCTGGTACCTCCAGGGATCCCACACCATTCATGGTAATGAGGCCCAACTCCCAAATGTGACGGTTAGTAGGGATTTTAACCTGGGGTGCCCCAGAGTCCTGTGCTTCCTCCTGCAGGGCAATCTCAGGGCAGCTGCCCACCCCCCCCCTTGCACACCTCCTTTTCTTCCAAAGTCAACTTTTGCCTTGACCTTGTTGAGGGCAAAATCTGCATACAGTCCCCTGCATTGTCAGAAGCCCCCACCCCCACCCCCTGTTGCAGCTGATGGGGGGCCTTAGAGGAGTGGGTTGGCCGAGTAATACTGTAAACGGTCTCTATTAATCTTTTTTTCCTTCATCCTTCGATTCTGAAACCAGATTTTGACTTGCCGGTCGGTGAGGTTGAGCATTCGAGACAGCTGCAGACGCTTCTCTTTGTTGATGTACACGCTGAAGAAGAACTCCCGCTCGAGCTCCCGGATCTGGTACTTGGTATAGGGGCAACGCTTTTTTCGGGTGCGTTGGCCACCTGTGGCGGGCAAGAGAGGCAGGGAGTGAGCCTGTGTAGGGAAGGTGCAGTGGATCCCAGAGCCCCCACCCAACCCCCCAGGACTAGCCTAGGGAAGAAGTTCCACCTAAGCCCAGTCAAGCTCTCCCCAGGCCCTGGCCTTAGACTCCTGCAGGCGACTGGGGCCAGGCTGCAGGCGGGAGGCTGAGCCCCAGATAAAAGGCAACAACTTCCATAGGCCCCCAGGGAAGCGGCTCTGGAGCAGAAAAGGAGGGCTCCTTCCTGCCACCGGCCAGTTTGCCAAGCAGAAGCTGCTTTCAAAGCTGCCTAATGGGGGTTGCCGGCTGCCTCCCGCCTAGCCAGACTAAACAAACTGCCGCCCAGGGACATTTCACCTTCCAGCACCTGGGCGGCCGGTTCCCAAGGCAGTAAAGGCAGCGCCGGCCCCAGCCTTCCAGGCGGCGGCGGTGACCTGGTCCTCTTGAACATCTGGGGCTGCTGCTGGCTCCTGGTCAGCCTGAGTGCTAGCCACCAGTGTCTGCTCCCTGGTCAGTCTCCTGGCTCCAGGGAGGGGGCGATAGAAACCCCCTACCGTGGGTCCTCTCTGGCACAGAGGCCTGTATTTCACCCTGGATCCCAGTGGTGCCATTTTAGAGAGAATGCAGGGGGAAAGGTTTTCCCAAACTACAGTGAGGTCGAACATGCTTCTCTCTCTCTCTCTCTCTCTCTCTCTCTCTCTCTCTCAAAAAAAAAATTTTTTTAAATGAACCCCCACCAGACATTAAAACATTTCTTTTTTGCTTTCGACAGATTAAATAACAATTGTGAATAACATGCAGATGGACAGAAGGCTGCACGTAATTTTCCCCGCGCCAGAGGAAAATGGCTTCCTTTGGACAAAAAGGCCAAGTTTGGGTTAATTTGTTCCTTTTAATATATTGCTGGAGCTAAGCGGGCTATTTTATCTGTGCAACACGCTCCTAGCGCCATCGTTAAACAGCGATGCCTTTGAATCCCGGCCGGGGCTGAAGCCCCGAAGCAACACATGGCTTTTATAAAAATCTCCGGATTACCTCGCTATCAAAGGCTCCTCGAGCCCTTGCAGGGGGAATTCACAGGCGCCCACCTCCGGCGGCTCCCCAGCCCAGAGCTGGCCCCAAGCGGGGCTTAGCTGCCGGGCTTGGGAGCTGAGAAGGGAAAACAGGGAAAAGGGGAGGTATTTTTTTTAAGCTTTTTTTTTTTTTTTTTTTTTTGCAGGCATGCCTTGGCCGGTGGGTATTTCACGGCCAATTTCAGCACTCGCCACGTGATCCCGCCTTTTATAACAAAGTTTTGTTGGGGGAAACCTAAAGGCCCTTCATAAACCTTATATGCTTATAAAACAGCATATAAAAATTTAACAGCGGTGCTGCGCTAGATTTCCAACTCCCCTTTCATAAAGCGCGGGGCGCTGCCTTTATACGTACTGGAGCCGCCGGCCTTGTCCTCAGTGTGGCCGGAAGACGACTCGGGGCTGCTGCTGCTCTCGGGCCGCCGCCGCCGCTCCTTGTCCTCGGCCGCCGCCGCCTCTCGGCAGCCGCCGCCGCCGCCGCCGCCGCCGCCGCCGTCCGAACTTGAAGTTGCCGGCGCGCCCGTGGCCGCTGCCGCCGCCGCCGCCACCGCCGCCGCCGCTGATGCTGCGGAGGTCGCCGCGGCCGCCGGGGGCCCCTTCTCGGCGCTCTTGTCCCCGGGGTAGTCGGAGGAAGCGAGGTTTTCCGGGGTGCCGTAGGCCGTCTCGAAAAACTGGTCGAAAGCCTGGGGCAGGACGCCGTTCCTGCCGACCGTGCTATAGAAATTGGAGGAGACGGCGGGGGTGGGGTGGTGGTAGACGTTGGCCGAGCTCTTGGCCAGCACGTCGCCAGGCACGCCGGGCGCGCTGGGCGCCTGCAGGCAGTCTCTGTGCACGAGCTCGTCCGCGGAGTAGCAGTGGGCCAGATTGCCGCGGGGGTGCCATTTAGTGGCGGGCTCAATGGCGTACTCCCTGAAGGTCACTTCGCGCACGGGTTGGACTTGGGGCAGGTTGGAAGAGTAGGAGTATGTCATTGGGCGCGAAGACGGGGTCTGGGGCAGAAAAGAAGGGAGGCTGGAGAAATCTGGACCCGAGACGTAGTAAGTACAACTTGGCAAATACATGTTAGAGGAGCAGGGACCACGCTCATCAAAATCCATCATTGGGCTACCTTGGGCTCTCCGCAGTAGCCGAGCTTAACATGATTCTCCACTGCAGCTGCCTCTTTGAAGCGGATCCGTGAAGTAGAAATTTGGAGACGTAAGCTGACGTGGAAATCTATCCCCATCCTTAGCAGGGAGGTGCTGGTCATGTGACCCGATGTTGAAATTGACAAGCTGCGAGCTAGTCTCAGGCTTTTTTTTTCCCCTTTCCTTTTTTTTTTTCCTTCCCCCTCTCCCTTTCCCTCCCTCCCCGGCTTCCTTTCTTTGTAGCCACCTCAGGGGAAGCAACAGATCGTCACTCGGTGTTCTCACCGAAAGCACGTAATCGCTGGTGTAACTCATGTTGGCTGAGGGGCCTCCCGGTGAGCCGAGAGGCTGGGGTGCGCCCCCAGTGCCGCTCGCCAGTGCTCAGCTGCACACTCCTGACCCTCGAATGCGCCCTGGGCGGCGTGAGAGCCCGGCTCCCGCCACCCACCCGTGCCCCCCGGCAAGGGGTACCCCAGGTTGGGGGGTGGCCGGGCGGGGAGGCGCCCGCTGCTGGCCCGCGCTGGGCCCTGGTGGAATCTATTCTGGAGGCTCCCGTGCGCACCTCCTTCTTCGCGGTCCCCCTCCCACAGGTTTGCTTGGGAACCACTTCTGCCTCCAGCTCTGGCGGGACCCCCTCCGGGGCCAGGGTTCACGGCGTGGATGTGCCTGCCTCGTGGCTCTCCCGATTTGCACGGTGACTTGATTACACGCTCGCATTCATGGGCACTTCCGAAGCGCTTTAGTGCCTTCCGTCCCTAAACCGCCAACAACCCACAACCCGGGCGGCTTCCCCCCGCGGTTTGTCAGGGATCCGCAGGTCCCCGAAGGGCCTTCGTCTTACCCGGGATCCAACACCCCTTCATCCTCTCTGTCGGTCTCTTCACCCCATTCCCTACCCTTTGGAGCATCCCTTTCCTCCTGGCTGTCAGCTGGGGGCCCCGAGTCCCTCCACAGAGCCAGAGGCATATGCGGGGCCGAGCCGCCGCGCGACCGTCTGTCTGCCTGCCTGCCGGGTCTTTTGGAGCTGAGGACTCGGAAACGCAGCAGTAAAGGCGAGCCCTGGGCTGCTTTGAAGGCGCTGCCGTCTGAGGAGCCTTCTCCTGGGTATGCTGCACCTTGGGGAGGGGGGGGAGCATTAGGTTTCTAGTGGCGCTGCAGAGCTGTAGAGAAAATGGGGTGGGGGGTTGCAAACAGGAGCTGAGGGCTAAGGAGCTGCCAGGCAGAGGAACTCGCTTCCTCTCCTTCCTCTGCACCGGGAGAAAGCTGGGATGTTCTGGGCAGAAATTGTGTCTCTGTCCTTTCTTGCTGCGCACCCTACAGATGGGACACAAAGCAAAAGCCCTGAGGCAGCGCATCCCAACTCCCCGAGCTGGATCCCCAGCTCACCTTGAAAAGACCAGGTTTGAGCTCCAGAAAGAGTTAGAGGTGGCCGGAGTGGTTTAGTACTTTCTTAGGAATAGGAACAAAAATGACCACCCCGAAAGGAGATGGCAAAAATGCTTGCTCCCCTGCCGGACTGAATGAACCGTTTCTGGTAGAAGTGAAAGAAGAGCGGTCTGCTCAGCCAGGCTGTGGGGAGGGGCCGCCTGCTGCTCCCCCCAACCTTTCCTCTTGGAAGGAGTTGGCTGTTGCTGAAGGGAAGTCAAAAGCTGAAAAAGGGATAACCTTTTCCCTTTCCCCGTCCAGGAACTAACCGAAGGTATTTATATATCTTGGGGAGATTTAGAGTATAAACTCTAAGATCTTTGGTATTTAAGTGTCAGCATCGATTTATTTATTTATTGCTGAGCTGACTGTAACTGACTCAATAACAAATCTAATCATGTATTGCCCTGGCAAAGAAATATTCTCGGTTATGTATTTTCTCCAAATGATGACCTACCATTGCATTTGAATACCCGCTGTAAATATCAATAATATCGAGTAATTACTCTGCAGTGGAGTAAACTAATTTATTAGCATTACTGTTTATGTGGTTCCGACCCCCTCTTTTACGAAGGCTGCTTATCACAAATCAAACTACTCCGACACATTGGTTTAATGAACTCTTTATTCCGGATTTGCTGCAAGAACTTCCAACCCCGTGAATCTCCGAGAGCTGAACTTGAAAGCATTTGTGCCTCTTCAGTTTCATGGAGTTCATCCACGGAGCTCTGTGCAGAGGGCAGCAGTATAAGAAACGGCTGGTGGGAAGGAGGTGGATGGGGAAGAGGCGCTTGAGACCTCCTAAAGCTGGGAATCACAGGCACAAAATTGCCCTGCCGTGAAAAAACTTCAATTCCAGCCGTGACCAACAAGGCAAAATATTTATTTCTCCACAGCGTCTTTCTCAAAGGCACAAAATAAAAGGGAGAAGGAGAGGGTTTTCGAACAGCAGTCTTTGAGCTTTCCCTGATGTGATTTTTGGCTATCCCCGACTCTCCCCCACTGTCCCCAGCAGCCCACCCAGTCCCCGCCACCCAACCTTCAAACAAAAGGAATGCATGAGGGGTTTCAGTGACTGGGCCCTAACAAAGGCGCCACCGTAGCGGGGACTCGCCCCGCCCCTGGGTGAAAGCAAACAAATTCTTGCACTTGTATTAGGGCTTTTAAGACTATAATTGAACCCGGGGCGTCTAGGAGAACCGAAAACAGTTCTAGACAGACCTGGGGTTTTATAGCAGTTTTGGCAATCAACTTCAGCTTGTGCCTGAAGGAACTGGCCGTGGTGGCCCACCAGCAGGGGGGACGCCAGGCCGCCTCCCCCAGCTGCACACACGGCTCCCCTCCTAATTAGATCGGTTTCCCCATTGGTGCCAGGGAAGTTGGGGGGGGGGGAAGATCCCTGCTGAAAGGTGGAGATGGGGGAAGGAGCTATTCTGCATACCTAGTGCCAGCCACCTCCTTGAGCGCCAACCCGAGGGTGCGAGGGTGCGGGCTGATCCTGATCCCTTGGGTGACAGTAGGAGACAAAGACATTCCCTGGAGAGGCTGAGGCTGAGGCGGAGAAATGCGCGGACACAGCATGGTAGGCAATTTGGAAGGTGCTGCTGAAGCAGGGTGTGGAAGAGACTTGCAGCCTGGAAGATTGTGTGTGTGTGTGTGTGTGTGTGTGTGTGTGTGTGTGTGTTGGGGGGCGCTTCTGGCAAGATGGGTGACGGGAAAGCTTTTCAGGTCAGAAGGGAAAGCTCCTTGGAGCCACTTGAAGCTTTAAATTCCCCAGCAGGGACAGAAGGGGGTGCTCAGATCCTCAGGGCCAAGGTAGTGTTCCTCCTGCTGTAGTGCTGGGGTGGAGAGGGTGGGCTCAACTCTTGATGATCACACCAGATCTTGTGCATGAAGGGTAGGCAAAGCACTGAGTTCTGGGCTTTATTTTACTTTGCTTCGTGAGCTTAACTGACTCTTCTTTGCAGGAGACCCAACAGCGGAACTGAGTCTCCTGAGAGGACTCCCAGGAGCCGGGTGCTCCGGAAGGCCAAATTTCTCCAGGACGCTGTGCCAGGCCGGCGAGCCTGTGCCATTGGCCTGAAGGCGGCTTTCCCATGAGCTGTTTTTTTTTTCCTCCGGAGTTCCACAGCTAGGGGCCATCTCCAGAAAACAGTCTTCAGCGCGTTTCCTTTCATCGTCATCCCGCGGCCTCGGGCCGCTAATGCAAGAGGCCAAAAAATGTTTTGGAGGAAGAAAAACAAAGGCAGGAAGTGGCGGCGGCCTGGCGGTGCGTGTGTGTCTGCGGAGAAGGGAGGGGGCCTTTTTTTTTCATCTCTTCTAGTTGTTTCCCCAAATTTCAGGATCTACGCAGCCCTGGCGGGGCGGCCACGGCTCCCCGCGCAGAATTTGGAGGATCCCCGTAGTGTGCGAAGCGGCTCTCACGGCGATTTACTCAGCAAACCCAAGCGAGTCGTTCCGAAGTTTCCTTTGATTTAGCCCCAAAGGTGGTGGCTGGGGGTTTGCGTGGGGGCAATTGGGGCTGTAGGCGGCGCCCCCTTGATCCTCAGCTAGCGGAGCGCGTCCCAGGCCGGACAATTCCTGCGCGCCCTCCGCTCCTCCATGATCCTTCTCCGAAGGGATCTCGGAATAAAATGTGCCCAGGTGCCTGCCCAGCACTGCAGCCTCCGCTTCTTTTTGCAGCCCCGAGCCGGCAGCAGCAGCAGCGGGAAGCGTCCGCAGGTGGTCTTGGTGCGGTCTTGGTGTACGCGGGGCTCCTTGAGATCTTTTTCATCCAGGATGAGTTGGAGATATTTCCAGCACTGTCATTTGAGAGTCGCGAGCAGAAAGGACTGTCATTCCATAGGCACCTTAACCCCTTGCTGATTTCAAGGGCAGATAGAGCTGGGGACACAGTGACCATCCCTGCTCTACCAGGTTACCTTTGTTTCTCTTTGATGCTGGCTTGAGTGTCCGTCCACAGAAGATTTTTGCTCCCGAAATTCGAGCACTTGGAGCTCTCAGGGCTTCCTTTGCCCACTGTGGAGTGCTCAGTGTGAAGGCCAGTACCAGGCTGTCCTGGAGCATTCCCTCCCCAGATGCCACCTGGGCATCTCCCTAAGGCTCCTGCTGGCCTGCCCGGGGCCCTGTCCCTCTCCAGCCTACACTCCCCTCCTGCCTCGTTGGACGAATCTCCTAGGGTGAGCATGAGCTGAGGTGCCAATGGAGGGCACCCAGTACTCAGGTACAGAGAAGGGCGAGCTGTTAGGTCTCCAGTGTCTCCTAATTCAATGCCCTCCTCCCCCCTCCCCTACCCCCACCAACACACACACACACACTCCGGATCTCTTATCTCCTGAACTCTCCATTCCAAGGCACTCTGAGTTCATTCTTCCCTCCCTCCCTCCCTCTTTCATCAATAGGACATCCTCATCCTGCCAGTGCCTGCCTTCCTGGGAAGGCAGTGGGGTGCAGCAGCCATCCTGAGAGGCCCCAGACTCTTTTGCTGGAGCAGACATATTCTCAAAGAGCTACCTCCTTTACCTGTGGAAAGCTTACAATACCTGTTGGGGTTTTGTTTTTGT